CCACCACCACCACCACCACTACCACCTCCGCAGCAGCAGCACCAACGGCACACCCACGCACACTTCCAAGAAACAATGAAGGACACACTTATCAAACGCATAGGAAAGAAAAGCACCTCGCCACTTCCCGGGTTGCTTGCCGTCCACCGCCAAAACCCGGCAAAACGGCAGCCACACCCCTTCTCTCGCTCCCTCACTCCTTTCTCTGCTGTTGTTGTCGTAGTTGTTGCCGTGCCAGCATTCATTCGGTTTCATAGTCTTGCAGTCGTTGTCCACCCCACGCTCATGTGGTGCGCCCGCCGAACGCCGCGGTGCCGTCCGGCTTCATCATGACCTTCACCTTGTCGTTCACTTGCACTGAGTCGTTGACGCTGACGAGGCCGTCGCACTCCTTAAACGACGCCATGCGGTACATCCCCTTCAGCGAGACCTTCTCCACAGAGTAGGTGTAGCTGGTGGGCATGATCACTTCCGCCCACACCTCCTTCGCCTCCGGTGACTCGTCCTCGTCGGGGATGATGTGCAGCACGTCCACCGGCATGCCGCAGCAGAGGAACTTCTGCTGCAGCTCCGGCAGCGAGTCGCCGGGGATATTCACCTCCTTCCCCGCGTCCGCGCTGTGCTCGGGGTAGACGAAGCACGCCATGTCGTCGTCGTCGAAGCCGCTAAAGAGGNCCTCCTTCCCCGCGTCCGCGCTGTGCTCGGGGTAGACGAAGCACGCCATGTCGTCGTCGTCGAAGCCGCTAAAGAGGAGCCGCACCCGCTCCGACCGCACCTCCGCGAAGTCGTGACCCTGGCCCGCCGTCACCTCCTTCTTGCGGCCGGTGCCCACCTCCACGAGTTTAATGTTGAAGCTGGCGGCGTTCTGCCCCTTCTGCGAGCGCGTGTTGGCAATAACGCGGTAGTGGCGTTTGTCGATCTTGACGATCATGCCGGCACGTGCCTTATCCGCGAAAACGCCACGCTGCGCGCAGGACAGCGGTGTGACGCGACACGGCGAGAGGCAGTTGCTGCTGGCGACGCCCACCAGAAATGGATGCAGGTGGCGACGCAACATGCCGCTACACCCGCCTCCGTCCTTACTTCCGCTTTCTCCTCCTTCTGATCTCCCTTCTCTTGTGTTTGCGAAGAACCCCCCCGCTTTTTGTGTTCTCCTCCCTAGTCGGTAATGACACGCCCCCTTCCCGTTGCTTTGACTTCTGTCCGCCCCGCACCACAGCCGCAGGAGCCTGTGGTGCAGCAGCAACAACATCCCGAGGATAGAAGAATGGGAATGAGAAAATGACACAGCAGCAGCAACAGCAGTAGAAGCAATTCATCACTAGCACCGGCGCGACAATCAACTTCCCCAACCACAATCCGCTCATCTTCACCATGACGGCGTCTCTACATTACTGCAAACCAGACAAACAACCACGCAGCCTGCCAGACGCGCAGTGCATCACAGACACCCATGTCGTCTAGCTTTCCACTCAAGACGTCAACTCCGCAAGTACAGGTAGCGGCGCCTCGTGTGTGACACGTTTCCGCAGCAAACGCCGCATCGGTCGCGGTCCCTTCCCACTATAGTCGCATACATAAGTCGCAAAGTCCAACGTGATGCCGGAAACCTCGAACACCTTCTTCTCGCGCGTCCGCGCGAGAAAAGACTGCTCCGCCACTAGAGCAAACTTCAACGGCATTGATTCCCACACTGCGTGTTTAATCACGCCCTCAACAGGGTCTATGGTCTGCACAGGCGAAGTGCACACCTGCCAATTGACAATGCCCTCCTCCACTGTTGTCTTGGCCTGCGAGAGTCGCTTGACCTCGAAGTAATGATCGACATACTGTGCTCGCAGAAGTGTCTGAGGGTGGAGGCGAAGGCGCTCGTTCAGCTTCACATTTAGATACGCGTGCTCGGCAACGTAGCGGGCGCGGAAGGCGCTCTTCTCCGCCTCGGAGCGCAACTTCTTCACCACGACTGTCGCCACCGTGCGGTCCTCCTCCGGGATCAAGGTGTCTTTCATCGCACCGTGCAGGCAGCCGTGCATGTCCAGCACAACATGCGTCAGACTGTTGCGGTCATCATACACCTTGACACTGCGCACACGGAATGATGAACACAGTGGCAGGAGCCACTCCCGATCGTAGGGGTACATGGAAACATCGCAGGCCTCCAGCGCGTCCACGGCGCCATGAATCTCAAACAGAACTGCACTATCTGGCACCTGAAACACCTCTTCATCCATCCAATTTACATTGGGCCGCACCAATGAGAAGCAGGGCAGCATGTACCACTCGTCCTCTTCCATTTCACGTATGTAGTGCAACTCCTCCTGGGGGAGTTCTTTGATGCCGTAGTACAACACTGGCATCGGTGGCGGCTGCGAGAGCATTTCTTGGGAGCTACTACTTGCCCCAGCAATCAGCAGTAGTGTGGAAACAGTATACGCCCACTTCGTTAGCCCCTCCGTGTTGCCTGTGCGAAAGCAGCTGTGAATCTCCTGCGCAAGCGAAAGCGGTGGCAGGTCGCTAATCATGAATGTGCGTGCTATGTCAATTGGCTCCATTGTAAACAGTCGGACAGCCAGGAGCACAGTACTTGGAAGCTCCGGGTACAGTGCGCCGTACAACATGTTCAGCGCATCCTGGAACACCAACACGGCGCCAGCCTTTACACCCAAGTTCCTTGCAATCTCGTGGTGCAAACCACACGGCTGGCGCCGCTTGACACAAGTGATGGCGCTTTCCACAATGACCTTCAGTAGTGGCCCATACGACTCATACAAACGGAAGGCCGAAACAGCAATGTGCCACTGGAGGCCGATAGGGTACGGGCAACGGTCATGCGCGGCTTCCCACAACTGGTCCACCTCCATAATGGAGAGTTCTTCAGCCATGTGCGCGTCGGCCTCCTCTAGCCCACCGGTTTGATCGGACGCGACCATGACTGCCCGGTACTCCTTGATCTCGTCCACCACTGGCCGCTTCCTCACCTCAGAGGTTGAGAGGAGCGCTACCTTTGGGATCTTGCCGCCCTCGGCGTGGGCAACGGTGCCGCTGATCTTGATCTTGGACGAGTTCAGCGCCAATTTGTCCGGTCCAATGAGACCCAGTGAGCGGGGAATGGTGAGCATTACGAGATACTGGGCGTCAATGCGGTGCACGCACTTGAGCAGCAGAACCTGTTTCGCAGGGCCCTTTCCTTTCTTCGCCCCATCGCCCGACCAGTACCCACGGAACAGACGCTGCGGCGCCATGCTTTGCATCAGCGTGTTCTCGGGCGTGAAAGCCGACGCCTTACCACGAAAGCCCGGCATGCTGACCTGAATCACATCGCCTTCGATGAGGGGGACGGAGCAGCGGAACTGCAGGTTGAGGCTCACCTCCACACGCGGAATGGCGGGGATGACGGTGAGCGCCGTGTCGACAAGCTCGGCGGGGAGCACCTCCAACTGCTCAACGGTACCCACCGCGTCGGCACGGAGCGACGCCGACCCCGCCAGACGCGCAAACACGTCAACGGGTCCCTTCTTCTTCCCCTTGGCCATTCCCCCTTTGGTCCTTCTTAGTTGTTTGTTGCTGTCTTGTTGTGTTCACGTGCGTCTTTTTTTTTTTCTCTTCTTGCTGTTGTTGTTGTTCTTACCAAAAATTGAAAATAGAATTCTGCTGGTGCCTTCCTCGCTGGGCGATGCCGCACCCCCACCACCACCACTTCTTCCTTCCGCCGTGCCCTGCTGCTGCTGCGACGTCGTTGGCCCCCCACAACACACACACACACCACAGCAGATGCAATTTAAAGGAGAAAGCAAAGAAACGTCCATCGCAGCAACACACAAGAAATGTGAAAAGGCATGAGACGCACACCGGCGTGGAGGCGGGCACCAAGAAAACAAAAACAAAAAAAGATAAGAAACCGAAGTCCCCACCCACACACACGCACATATGAGCACAAACCACGAATAAACCCCGTTTCTCCTCCCCACTCTTTTTTTTTGTTGTCGCACCGAGCCACTATTTGTCGGGCCTCTTTACGCCATGTCATCCCTGTACATCACCGACGCGGCCACGCGATGGTAGCTGGTGGTGAATGAGCGCAATTTAACTTCACTGCTGTTCGGTATCAGCCGCGGATCACTGGGCTCCCACGTGCCGGATGGCAGCTCCGTGTCCAGCTCCGTGTACACCAGCAGGTCAAAAGTGCAATGCTGCTGCAGCAGCGGCAGGTACGCGACGGAGGCGGTGATTTGACGTATCACAGCCTGAATCTCGCGGCGAATTTCCTCTTCCGATTTCTTCTTGACGGCGCCGCCCTTGGTGCCCTCAACGATGACGTCAAAGGCCCACCGCTCCACCACCACGTCATCATCTGCCGCCGAGATAGTCAGCACCAACTTGCGCATCTTGTCGGCGGCCAACCACGTGGCAATCTGTTGCAGGAGTTCCGTGAGGTACGTGTTAAGGTCGTTGTCGGTCGACACCATCAACTGCACGCCGTAGCGGGTGACCTGCTTGAACTCCTCGTGCGGATACACGCCCCGCTGGTAGAGGATACTGTATATCGCAAAGCCGAGGAACTCCGTGACGGTGGCAACACTCCCTTTAAAAGTGATTGCCTGCACTGTCTGCGTCATGATTCTTGTGTATGCAAGTATATATGTTTAGATTTATGTATGTGGTGCGTGAATATGTGTGGGCTCCGATTGTGTTTTTTTTTTCGGTTTTGTTTCTATTCAGCTGTTAAAAAAAAAAACGCTTTATATCTCCTGCCATCGTGTAGAAGGAAACACGAAGCAGCAACAGCAGCAGTGTACACGTATTCCAGCATCGTACCCAATACGGAGGTAAATACATAGGCATGCGCGTACACGCACAGAATAGCATAGAAACAGTCTATGCGTGTACGCGCATGCCTGCACCGAAGCAACCAAACAAACGGGATCACGCTCTTCCATTTACCCACCCACTTCGTAACTGTTTTAGTCCAGTCGGTTCCTTGCGTGTATGAGAGCGTTGCGTATGTATGTCCACTCTAGGATGCAGCGGCGAAACTTGCACAGCTCCCCATTCTTCCAACATGCTTTGGCGTTGCTGTAGCACTCCTCGTAGCGCTCCTCCATGTGTGCAATGAGAAGCTGCAGTGTCGCCCGGCCATCTGCAGCTGTGGAATCGGCGGAAAAGATAGACTCATTTGCCGCCATCATCTCCGCAAGAAACTCTATCGGAAGAGATATATCGTTATCACCAGCAGCGGAATCAGTACCGCCAGCGTCAGCACCTGCGAGCTTTTGATTTTCCTTTAAGGTGCGACTATCGTCTTCGTGCATGAGGGCTTCCTCCTCTTCTGGTGTCAACGGGGAACCCTTGACTGTCTCTGCACGACACAGCTGCAGCAGATACCTGCAGCGCAGGAACGGGTCGCGCAGCGTCTCGTAGGACGCGTTGGCGTACGTCGAGTCGTCAGTATCCGCCTGTCGTATTCCTGATTCCACCGCCACTGCCACCGATGCCAAGGGGGGAGAAGAGGCGGCCGAGGTTACCTTCGCTGCCTCCTCCTCCTCCTCCTGCACTGCTGCCCTGGCCTGCACGTTGGCTTGATCGGGGTGGACGCGGCGCTGCAGGTTGTGATACGCGCGTTGCACCGCCGCCACGTCCAACTCGGGCGACACCGGGAGGCCCAAGTACGCAAAGAACGTCCCGCGCCCCAGCTGCCTTGCCACAGCCGTTGTATGAAAACAGCGGGCGCCCATGGGTGCCGCCAGGGGTCCGGATATGAGGAGACGAATGGGCCGTATCATCTCACCCACCCCTTCTCCTTAATCAAACAGGTGCTGACTTTATTCCCCTTTCCCTTTTTTTCCCCCCACACCCCCACCCAAACCCGCACCACATGTGATATATGCGAAGAACCAGAGAGAGAGAGAAAGAGAGGGAGGAATGAGGATTGGGGAAACGAACAGTGAGGAGCAGTGACAACACAAGTGCTACCTCCTGCACAGGGCGCCGAAGGGCATATAGAAGGGGACTACGCGCATGTGAAGCCAACAATACCCCCTGCAGCCCCCACCACACACAGACATGAATAAATATATAAATCTATATATATATATATATAGATTTATATATTTATATATACGAAATTGTGCATCATTTCCACCGAAAGCCAAGCGCGTAATATGCTATGTACATCTGTATAAAGCAAATCACATATTTCGACAGATCCCCCGCTCACAACGACAACGGAGGTGGCGGAGCTGCGCTTGATCTGAACAACGCGCCCACCTCTCGCACCGGCTGCAAGGCTAATTGCTCCAACGGCACCAAGCGTACTTGGGCCGCCTCTGCTGTCAGCTGAGAGGCCTGCAGTGCTGCACGCAACCGCTCAAGGTGTGTCGATACCAGCTGGGACTTTGCAAACCACTCGCGTGCAGACTCACCAGTAGCACCGCCTTCACCTTTTGACGCCGTTGCCTCGCAGCTCACTCGAAAGAAGTTGAGGCGACTCTCCACAAACGGAATGTAGCGCACCATGTCCAACAGCACGGCATTCAGCATTAAGTTCACCGACTTGGTCGCCGCTGTTGTCGCCGCTGCTGAGGTTGGTGATGAGAATGCCGCGGATGCTCCTACCACAGGGGATCGTGCCTCACTGTTGCCTTGTTGGTACTTTCCGCCACCATGGCGATCGCTCTTAACACGAGTCCTCACAAGAGAGCGTCGCCCACGTCGACCCGTGACGGAGCCGCTCTGCTCCTCCACTCTTGCGGTGCTCTCGCTGGTGTTTGNGTCCTCACAAGAGAGCGTCGCCCACGTCGACCCGTGACGGAGCCGCTCTGCTCCTCCACTCTTGCGGTGCTCTCGCTGGTGTTTGCGTGCGCCTTGCTCATGTACTCCTCAACGAACGCCTCCGTCATGAGCTCGACGCTAAGGTTCCACACCCCACTCTCGCCGTCCAGCATATTCATCACCCGTACGAAGGAAGTGCGCTCGAGCGGCCCCACCTCCACGCCTGTGGCGGTTAACACAGTCGGCAGCCGCTGCAGCAGCGCAGAGGAGGCGAGGATGGGGCCCACCGGCGGGGCAGAGGCGGTGGGCGTCGGCGACAATCGCATCGCCTCGCCCGTACGGCTCTTGTCCTTCTTCATCTGCTTCTTCGCCCGATGTGCCTCCTGCGGTGAAGGTAACTCCGTGACGTTCACCATGAATTGCCCCTCCAGCGCGCTCAGCTCGGTCGGAAGGAAAAGCGCCATCGCCATCTGGTAGAGGTACTCCATCTGTTCTGATGCAGTGATCGTGGTCGTCGCGCCCTCCGTCGTGGTGCGCTCCCACGGCTCTGGGATCAGCACATCCTTCTGCTGCTGAATTGTGCGGAGCAAGATGGCCTGCTTGGTTTTCGTGCTCGTCATACAGACCGTCTGCTGTTGCTGTTGCTGTTGCTGTTGCTGTTGCTGCTGCTGCTGCTGCTGCAGCAGCTCTGTTGTCTTGCTGAGCATATCGTCCATTCGCTGGAGCCGATTCGTCTCCGGCAGACAGAAGCGGTTGTTCCTGAGCCTCGCTTCCATAACAGCCGAACGGTGCAACAGGGCATCGTACAGAACACTATGATCACTGCTGCCTACCGTCGGTGTTGGAAGTGGCGGAAGCTGAAGTTGCTCCCGGTCAATGCTCACCACAGCGTTTGTGCCTGTCGCCGCTGGCTTTACCGCCGGCTCTATCGCGTGTTGCCGACTCGTGATGGACTTGCGCCGCAGCGAGCTGCGTTGTGAAACAACAGACGGCGAGTCGGTGGTTACTGCTGTTGTTGTTGTTGTTGTCCCCTCCAACGTCTTGACAAGCGCCTCCCACTTCTCCGCTGAGAGCGGCATGCCACCCCGTGAGAGTGCCCACGCAGCGTGGAACGCCTGGTGCTTCTCTTGCACCGCCCGCTGTGCGTCGGCCTGCGCCTGTGCTTCTTCTTGCATGCGCTTCTGCTTCTCTTCCTCAATTCGGCGCACCCTTTCACCCAGAAGACGTTCGCACGACGACGCCTTGAAGAGAGGGCGGCGCCTGCCAGTGGCGTCGTTCGCATCACTGGAGAGCGGTTGCGTGTAAGTGGACGAAAAGGCAACCTTCTTCAGTGCTGCGCCTTCGTTTGAACGTGCGCCCATAACGCTGAGCAGACATGAGCGCCGCTCCTGCTGCGTCTGCTGGTGTTTCTGCTGCCGTCTCTGCTCCAGCCGTGAGAGGAAAGTGACACTTGGCTCCAATGGCTTGGGTGTGCCGTCCTCATTCTCACCCTCTCCATCACCATGGTCGCTCTCAAGCAACGACTTCTGTGATGATGTATACGTTTCCCCCGACCTCGGTGTGGGCACCAGTGGCGGGGACACCCTGCCAGTGGTCATGACGCCCTTTGAAGAGCCGTACAACGCGGCGGCCTCTTTGCGTTCGTCGTACCGCACAGCACGCCTGTCGAGCACCTCAAGTTGCGGAAGCTCGTAGATGAGGAAGAGGCGGTAGCCCACCTCGTCGCAAAGCGGGTTGCCGCGCAGGTCCAGTTCCCGCAGGCACCGCAGCGGCTTCAGCTGCGTGGACACCGCGGTGAGATTGCTGAGACGATTGTTAGCCAGCGCAAGCACCTCAAGCTGCCGCAGACGGCTCACGTCGCCGTCGAGTGTCTGCAGGTTATTGTGCGAGGCGTACAGCCGCCGCAGCAGTCGGCAGCCGCGAGCGCCGCCGTATGGAATCTCCACCGCCGCGCTGTCCTCGATGACAGGCGGGGCGCCGTGTGCGTATCGTGGCTTCAGCAGGAACGCTATTTGCCGCAACCGGTTGTGGCGAATGATGAGGGTGTCAAGGTTCTCCAGCAGCTGCACATTTGGGTGCAGCCGTGTGATGCCTTTTCGACAGAGCGTCAGTTCCTTTATCGTGTGGTACTTCGAACGTGGAATCCCGAGGGCGCGAATCGGGTCAAGGCATAAATCTTGCTCCTCCGTCGGATCCACGTACGGCGGGAACGCCTCCTCCCTCTCCCCCTCCTCCTCATCGGCGGCGGTGGTGATGGAGTACAGCGAGACCTCCGTTGCCGCAGATGACGGGCTACACGAAGCCGTCGCGCTGCGCAGCGGGCGGCGCGGGAGGCCCTGCAGCGACCGCCTGTACCAGGCGCGTATCAGGTCCGGGTACGGCCTGCTGTGCGTTGTGTACATGAGTTGCCCCTCTGCTGTGGCTGGACCTTATCCCTCCTGCTCCTCCAACCCAACGCCCGCAGGAGCACAGGGGGCGGGGGCCTTGGCGCGGGCTTCGCGTGTTACCTGAACAATTACAATGGCGTGACACAAAGGAAAGCATTAGAAGGCAAAACAACAACAACAACAACACAAGAATAAAAAAGAGTCACGACAAGAAAGAGACACCCTTCGCCAACTACAGTTAACAGACCACGGCACCGTCGGCGAATAACACGTATCTGTTATGCTGTGCGCGTAGACACAAACAGAACGCGACCGGGCGGGGGAAGGCCCCGGGGCGACACAACGCCTCCACTCCTCCACCTCTCGCTTCTTCGCCGCTGCCGCTCTACTCCGCCGTTGCAGCAGCACGTGGCACACGCTCCACAGCCGGCAGGTTGCGGCCACGCCACGCCCGCGCACTCACCCTCGCCTCCTCCACAGTGTTCACGGCGGCCACACACACCACGTCGCTGCCGCGTATCATCATGACGCCCAGTTGCAACTCCTGCATCTCGCCACCATCACGGCCACCTGCGCCACCCTCGTGGCTGTTATCGTTGTTGTTGTCGCCGTCGTCGAACACACGCTCCACGCAGGACGTGAGGACGAGGTTGAGCAGCTGATCCGCGGCGTGCAGCACACCGACGAGGTTGCGCCCGTCCGTCGTGACCACCGAAACGCGCCGTCGCAGATAATGTGCCAACATCCTCCCTGCTGTGGTGCGGGTGAGCGGGAGGGGTTCTGGCAGCAGCGCAGAGACCACGAAGAGAGGGGGCAAAGAAGGGGAACACAGAGAGTGAGTGTGTATGTGAGGGAGAGAGAGAGAGAGAGCAGGAGAAAAAGAATCAAGGGACTGCAGTAGCAAACAGAGATGCCTTGCAGGCGCCTGCAGGAGTGGGAAGAGGAGGGCCCCGCCTCGCCGCCCCCACAAACACAAACACACACACACACACACANACACACACACACGTGGCGAGGAAGGAGAGACAACGCGGACAGGACGCCGGCACACCCAACAAGAAAGCCCAAGTTCAATAGGAGGGAAAAACTAAAAGAAAAAGACTGAGAAATGACCAGAGAGTACACATAAAGAAGGAAAGAACACACACAAGCACATATATCTAATGAGTGGATGTAGTAAGAGAGCGTCACACCCACTGCGTCGCCCCACTCCCCGCCTCCACCACCGTCTTTCCCCCCACGTCCCCGCTTAACTCTCATTCATCCCTCCATTTCCGAATCCCTCAGCCTCACGGGTGCAGCCGTCTCCTGCATTGTTGCTCCGCCTCTCGCACCCGCACCTTCTCCCCAATGTAACGGCGCACAAGGGAGAGGTGTGCTCCCTTTAATCTTCCTTTTTCTTTCTTTCTTTCTTTCCTTCCTTCCCTCTCTCCCATTCTGCGGGGGAGGCGGCGCTTGTGCGCGTGTGCGTATTTTCATAGTTTGTGTGCAGCACGCCTCTACATTTCTCCCTTCTGGTTCACCACAGCAGCATGCGCCCCTTTGCTGCGAGTTGCGCGTTAATGAAGTTGCCTAAGCTCTTTTTTTTTTGTCCCTTCTTCTTTTCCGGTTTCATATTCTTTCTTCGTCTTAAAAAAAAGGCATATATATATATATATA